TCCAAATTGGGCCCAATTAGCCATTTTCTCTCCCCGGTGTCATGTGACTCATTAGTGTTACAAGGTCTCAGGTGTGAATGGGGAGCAGGTGTGTTAAATTTGGTGTTATCGCTCTCACTCTCTCATACTGGTCACTGGAAGTTCAACATGGCACCTCATGGCAAAGAACTCTCTGAAGATCTGAAAAAAAGAATTGTTGCTCTACATAAAGATGGCGTAGGCTATAAGAAGATTGCCAAGACTCTGAAACTGAGCTGCAGCACGGTGGCCAAGACCATACAGCGGTTTAACAGGACAGGTTCCACTCAGAACAGGTCTCGCCATGGTCGACCAAAGAAGTTGAGTGCACGTGCTCAGCGTCATATCCAGAGGTTGTGTTTGGGAATTAGACATATGAGTACTGCCAGCATTGCAGAGTTTGAAGAGGTGGGGGGTCAACCTGTCAGTGCTCAGACCACACACTGCATCAAATTGGTCTGCATGGCTGTCGTCCCAGAAGGAAGCCTCTTCTAAAGATGATGCACAAGAAAGCCTGCAAACAGTTTGCTGAAGACAAGCAGACTAAGGACATGGATTACTGGAACCCTGTCCTGTGGTCTGATGAGACCAAGATAAACTTATTAGGTTCAGATGGTGTCAAGCGTGTGTGGCAGCAACCAGGTGAGGAGTACAAAGACAAGTGTGTCTTGCCTACAGTCAAGCATGGTGGTGGGAGTGTCATGGTCTGGGGCTGCATGAGTCCTGCCGGCACTGGGGAGCTACAGTTCATTGAGGGAACCATGAATGCCAACATGCACTGTGACATACTGAAGCAGAGCATGATCCCCTCCCTTCAGAGACTGTGCCACAGGGCAGTATTCCAACATGATAACGACCCCAAACACACCTCCAAGACAACCACTGCCTTGCTAAAGAAATACAAGCTGTACACTCACTACTTTACATTGTAGCAAAGTGTCATTTCTACTGTGTTGTCACATGAAAAGATATAATAAAATATTTACAAAAATGTGAGGGGTGTACTCACTTCTGTGAGATACTGTTTTTGTTTTCTTGCTAAGGGAAACAGTGATCTCTTTAAAACTTTTTGATTATGAGCAACTTTTAATACATTTTGTTTATTTAAATTCTTTATAAAATTTAAAACAAAAAATATATATATTTAGAGGCACATTTAATTTTTGACAACCCTAATCTGTAAAATAAATAAATAAATAAATATGGAAATTTAACACTAGCCATTAACCCTAAACCACAATGCAATGAAGTCCAAAATTCTAAATACAGGTAAAACACCCATAAAAACACCTGTTTAAAAAACCTACGGAAATAATACATTCTGCCCTATTTCTACATATCAATTCAAAATACAGGTAAACACCTGCAAAAAAAAAAAACACCTGTTTGAAAAAAACAACAATATGGAAATAGTACATTGTGTCCTATTTTTACTTTTTTTTTTACAGTGTATAAAGGCCTATATAAAGTATTTGATGCTAAGGAAAGTTACTGACCTACAGTGAGCGATAATGATAAAAGTCTACTTTTATAGTAAGTTTAAGAGGTTTTGGCTTAGAATATTTTTTTAAAACTTCTAAGAATTTTGTCCCTGCATGTTTGATGAACTTTTGATCTATAATATTACCCCTAAAGATCATGTAAAAACAAAGAAGGAGATTGACAATCAGGCAATACCAACCCACATTTTTGGCTTGTGACACTCAAGTATTGGTCTAAGTGCAACAGAGCAGAATTGCTGCTTGTTGACTTCAAGCTCAAGCTTCAAGCTAATTTATTGTTAATAATAATAATAATAATAATTATTATTATTATTATTATTATTGCTGTTGTTATTAAATTATATCCCTTGAGTGTAAGCCATGGTAAATAAATAAATAAATATTATTATTATTGTTGTTGTTGTTGTTGAATTATTTCCCTTGAGGTTGTCTACACTGGGTGTAAGCCATGATAAACAAATTATAAAAAAAAAAAATAATTATAATTATTATTATTGTTGTTTTTTTGTTGTTGTTAAATGATATTCCTTGAGGTTGTCTACACTGGGTTTAAGCCATGGTATATTATTATTATTATTATTATTATTATTATTACTACTACTACTACAACTACTATTACTACTACAACTACTGTTGTTGTTGTTGTTGTTGTTAAATTATATACCTTGAAGCTGTCTTCACTGGGTATAAATAAATAATACATTGTTTAAGCCATGTTATAATAATAATAATAATAATCATTTATTATTATTACTACTATTATTATTATTACTACTACTACTACTACAAGAGCTCAGTAATCTTCAGTCTCCTCCTACATACAGTTTACCTTTGCAGGTATACACAAACAGCAGACAATAGGAGCTTTAGCATTTTCCCAGAGATGAGGAAAGAAACCGTTAGTCTAAAACTGTTAGTAGTTCTATAGGAAAGCAAAACAGAAACACTACTACAACATGAACAGGGCCACTATTTGTTAAACGTGTCAGTGTACGAGTGTGGCAAAACGGCTTGTCTAGATGTAGCAGTTGTGACAACAGTTGCATTAGTTTAACTACCGTACAATAAAAAAAAAAAACTGTATGACATCATCTGCTGAATATTTCTAAATTCCAGCTACATATTTGCCAACTCTCTCTTTTTTAAATAAAAATAGACTCTTAAAACTCACAGAATGAATAAACTGTGTTAAATATTACTGAGTCCACTGCTTCAAGGACAACACAAATCTTTTCAAGGAGAACTGAAAACAAACAGCCAATGTTTCCAATTGCATCCTAATCCCCACATTTAAAACTGCAACCACAACAATTTAATTTGCCGCTGTCGTAAGGTTAAGAGAAAAAAAAAAAACGAAAACACTGATGGCACGACTTTCTACAGATGAGAGAAACTGGTGTGAACTAGCAAGTAGTTATTTGGTAACATTCCACTGATAGCTTCCAGAAATAATCAGGGTGAAGATACACTGTTTTATTCATAGCATGTCACTCTTAACATGGTAATTACCAGCTGCTGAGGGGTGCAGAGCACGCCAGTGGTTTCACAGAATTCATTTAGCACAATAAATCAACAACTACAATAGAGAAAATCACTATAATTATATAATTTACCAAATTCTCCATTTGGTTGGGAATCTTTATTGTTAAATAAAGGCAACTGCTGTTGATTTCAGCCAACAAGAAACTAGCTTACAAGGAACATATGGATTTAATTTTGCACATGCTTTTTAAAGAGAAACGCTGCTTTGAGTTGATAAGCTGCTGACCTGATGAAGCCATGTTGAGAGAAGGCAAATATGCAACTACTAATCAGAGCAAAACATCCAGAAATAAAAATTTCACATGCAGTCTAGTCTTCTAAATAAAAGTGTTTGTCTTTCAGACCCAAAGGAAACAAAATAGAGGAAGATTTGCAGAAGGAGGGGTAATGAGTGTTTTAGAAGAGGAATAGCGAATAGCACATTGCTTGTGTCAGATAACCCGAGCGGCTTATCTGATCTGTGCCTGCTACAGGGAAGCACTTACCCTTCAGTCCGGCTACAAGAGAGCAGGGTAAGAGGGAACAAACCAGAGTGACATATAGACTCACGTGGAGCAGAAGACAGAAGAAAGCAGAGAGAAAAAGAGAAAGGAGGAAATAATATTCCCTTTACAGTGTAAGCAAAGCATGAGAGAAGGAGGATCTGATACACTTATTCATACACACACAAACAATTATCTGAAAATGGGAGGGGGAAAAAACTTGAGATGGTGCAGAGAGGGTTGCAATAATTTAAAATACCAGAAAGAAAGATAAGCAAAAGAAAAGCATAAAATATAAAAGCAAATATACACAGAAAAGAGTGACGAGTAATGAATAAAAGAGAGCAAATATATGCAAAAGAAAAGTGAAAGAGTGAACAACAGAAGAAAAATAACAGAAAGAAAGAAAGAAAGAAATGATATGTGAAAGTAAAAAATAAACAATGAGTGAACAAAAGCAAATATACACAAAAGCAAAAAAGAGAGAAAGAAAAACGAGTGAATGAAAAGCAAAAGTAAAAGAGCTTATATAAGCAAGAGAAAACTGAAAGAGTTAAAAGCAAAATAAAAAGAAAAGTGAAAAGTAAGAAAAGTGCTGAAAGAAAAAAAGAAAGAAAGAAAGAAATCAAATGAACAAGTGGGCAAAATAAGTAATTAAAAACAAACAAACAAATAAGTAAGTAAATAAAGAAATAAAGAAAGCAAGCAGAAGAATTCTAAAATAAAGACAGGGATCAAAAGGTATCAAAGCAAAGAATATGCAATGATGAAATGTATGTGGGATGCAAGATGAAAGATTTCTGAAAGAATCAAACAGTGCAGATGAAAACAGACTGAGATTTTTCTCCCTTTTTACAACACTAATACAGTAAGTAGTTACTGTTCTCAGGAGGTGAACACTGTTGAGATTACACTTACAGCACATCAATGAGCAGTAGAGTGAAACAGGGTGTAAAAACATCAGTAGTACGCTGTTTAGAACGGGATCTTATTTAGCTGATGTTATAGAAAGTTTCCATGTATGAGTGTGACTGCTATGAAGAGAGTCATTATAAATGCAGCTCTGGCCCTGTGTGTGTGTGTGTGTGTGTGTGTGCATGTTTATGTGGTTTATGAGGACACAAATTTGTATAATAACATGGGTATGACATAGGTATTACATCAAGAAGGTGATTTATGAGGACATTTTCAGTGTCCCCGTAATTCAAAAGGCTTATAAATAATTCAGAATGAGTTTTTTTGAAAATCTAAAAATGCACAAAGTTTCCTGTGAGGGGTAGGTTAAGGGGTAGGTTTGGTGTAGGGCAATAGAATATACGGTTTGTACAGTATAAAAACCATTACGCCTATGGAGTCCCCATAAACCATAAAAACAAACCTGTGTGTGTATGTGTGTGTGTGTGTGTGACTGCAGTCAGCATGTGTGGATCTGTAGAGTCTATGTATTCATACTTACAGAACTGAGAGATGGGAGCATCGAGCTGTGGTGCTGTCCCTCCTTTGGCGTTGAGTTTCTGCACCTGGGTCGGGGGGATGGGTTTGTGGGACTGGCCCGTGGCACGATACATCGCTTGAACCCACAGGATTCGATCTTGCTCATCATCGCTGGCGAAGATCACAGTGTCTCCCTCCTTCACAGCATTGAAGAACGTCCGACCACCATCCAGACCTGCATTCAACATATTGTTCATCATTTATACATCACATGGAAATTAATCACTGTGTAAGCAAACGTGCACTGTGAAAAGTCACAACACTGAGTTATTTCTACTTGATCAGACCCTTTCAAGGTACTGTATATGGAAGCATTGTTGAACTAACAATACTCTCACAGCACTTTTGAATCTTGGCTAAAGTTTATTTATACATAAAATAATAATTTTTTATGACAGGAAAATACAGGGAGAGAGCACGAATGGAATCGGGACATAACACAGGATGGATGCGAACTTGGGTTTTTAGGAAAAACATATACAATGTAGTGTACATGCATTTTTGTGCACACACACACAAACATATATATATATATATATATATATATATATATATATATATATATATATACATAGGGGTATA